ATTTGCAACAGTCACGTGTTCGCCTCTTCTCCTCACCAACAGCTGCAGACATGAACGGTGACTGACGCTCAGTCATGTTAGCATGATGTTAGCATGATGTTAGCATGATGTTAGCATGATGTTAGCATGAAGTTAGCATGATGTTATCATGATGTTACAACACTTTATGAGCACTACTAGAGGTCAATAAAGCTTCCTTTCCTAAATCCCCCCCAAAGTATATACAGTTATCATGAATGTTAAACTGGCCTGTGTACATTTTAATGCCTTTAAGCTGTTAGAAATTAGCAATTAAAAATACTGTTGTTATTTTTTCTGCCAGTTTTTTGTTTTTCTTTTGTTCTTTTTTATCCTGTAGTCTTGAAACTGAAATTGAACATCGGCTATTTTCCTGGGAATTCCAGTATCGTGACAACACCGATGCACACTGATATTTTTCCTAGTGGAAAGACCAGTCAGCTAAATAATATAGACAAGCTTCAGTATGAGACTGCATAATTTCTCTAATTGGGTTCATGAATTAAGCTCATATTCTTTAGCGACAGTATCAATGCAACCAAGCAGAGAATTAGTGCCGCCAGCTCCGATGGAAAGGATGAGAAATAATTACATTTTAAACAAATAGTGACAAAAGCTGGATTTAAAATAAAGAAAGTAAAGCCTGGCACTGCACTCATCTGACTTCTGAGGTGTCCAAAAAAAGTTGAGATGCTGTGTAAAATGTCCATTTTTACTTAAATAAAACAAATTAATTGAAAACATTTTGTTTTCATTTTCACACACAAAAAAGTTTTGAAATATGTTTGCTAGCTTCAGTCCTTGCACTACATTTTATTAGCATTTTGCACAGAGTACCAACACATAACTTTTCAGCTCCTCCCATATTGTCTTTCAAACATTCAAATAATGTAACAAATACTCAAAATGTAGGCCACACAAACCCACGCACACCGACACATACGCATCAAAACTCAATACCTGTGAATTGCGCAGGTTATATACGCTGTATCTGTTTCTGTGTGTCACTCGATCACATGGGTGTGTGCTGTTCTGCGCAGACAAAGCATTTGTGAATGAAACTTGGTGTCTTCCTTGAAGAAGGTGTTGGCTTTCACTGACTTTTAAACACACACACACATAGACAGATACACACACAGGCTATAGGATGAGCTGGCCTTTAACTATTGACCAGGTGAAGGAGACATTGTATAAAAAGAAGAGAAAAAAACGCTTGCAGGCAAAAACACAGACAGGCAGACATCAGGAAAGACAACTTCCATTCATATGGTGTAAAACCTAAAGGACAATGGATGTCAGCAGAGTCTAAGAGTCATTTTGGGTTATCTTTTTTTAAATTCAGGGTAAAAATGTAAAGCATCTGTTCCTCGTGTTACACAGATTTTACTCTGGAACTATGATTTTATCACATTTTCTCACATGTCTCACATTAATCTTGGAAAAAACACGATTATTTTCTGAATGTTTTCTAGATTTTAAATACAAACCTAGAGATCTAGAAAAAGCTACAAGCCACTACAATTTTTCATTCATTTCACTCCTTGTTTTCACTTTGCATGGCTGCCCTGTGAAAGAGACTGGATCTTAATGGGACTTCCTGGTTACATCAAGGTTGAATAAATAAATTGCACAATTTAAATCCTTCCATTCAGGGCTGACATTTTGGCTTTTTTCTTTGCATTCATTGTGAAAATTGAACTTCTTACCATTTACGTTTGTGCTGGTTTGGAGAAATAGATGAAGCAGCTAAATACACGTCATTTAATCGCAGGTTGGTGTTACTCACCTGTGAAAATCCATGTGAACGAGATTATGGTGAGAAAAAGCAAACAAAACGTTCATCTACACATCGATCCATCCATCTGTCTATTGTTGCGATTACCTTGGTTGTGGCGAGTGATTTGTAGGGGTTTTTGCTCTAATATTAATAGAGTCTTTACCTTATGCCTTGAGTTTTTGTACATATTTAAACAACTTATTTTCACAGGAAGAGAACTAACCTGAGGGACATTAGCCACCGACCACAACCAGCTGGGGGGGAGGGGAAAGCGAAGATGAAAAAAGGAGAGCATAGAGAGACAAGGATGAACTATGCTTATGGAGTGATACAAGGGGAGCATAGAAGACATAGTTTATGCTCCCAGCAATCTGAGCCTATAGCAGCATAATTAAGGGGTGTTTCAGGGTCACCTCATCAAGCCCTACTTACAAATTTGCCACTAAATATATGCAACATTGCAAAAGAGTCCATTGTACTAAACACTGAATTCAGCACATCACGTGCAACACTCGCAGTGTCAAAAATGTTCATTATCATAGCGTAACTAATAAGAAACTTTTCTAATTAGACCGTAACAGAAAGCAAAGTTGATAGGAACATTATTTGCTCTCACTTTTGACCTGACGATGGCACTAAATCCTAAGTCTGGGGCTTCCCAGCGTTATTAAAACCCATCCTGTAGGGAACATGAATGTTGGCTAAAACATGCTGATATTCTCTGAATTCAGGTATGGTTCTGGTTCAGTTGGGTAGGTGCTGCTGTTAGTACTC